CCCCCCCCCCCCCCCCGATGGGTGTCCCTTGCGGGTCGGAATTATTATTTGTATTATATTTGTCCTGTAGTTTTATTTATATTAATAATAAGTAATTGAGTATTATATGGATATATTACTAATATTTATTATTTAAATTATTCATTATTACTTATAATTATTATTTTAACAATTATAGGATATGTATTTATGTTTATGGGGTGATTTTCTAATTCTATATATTCTTTAATTGGAGGGGTTCGGGCTATTTCTTAAACTTTATCTTATGAGGTTAGATTAATTATTATTTTTTTAGTATTAATAATTTTAAGAGAGAGATATTTATTTATAGATTTTGTGACAGTTATATATGTGGTATGGATTAATAGTTATACCTTTATTTATGGTTTTTTTTTAGAGTTTTAGCTGAGTTAAATCGTAGACGTATAGATTTTGTTGAGGGTGAGTCAGAGTTAGTGTCAGGCTTTAATGTGGAATATTTTAGAGGTTTATTTGCTATAATTTTTATAGCGGAATATGGGATAATTATTTTTTTTTAGATATCTTATAGTTGATATTTACAAGATTAATGATATCATGATTAGTATGAGTTTATATAAATTTAATGGTATTTTTAATTATTTTAATACGGGGTGTTTTACCACGAATACGGTATGATGAATTAATGTATTTATGTTGAAAGATTATTTTACCATTTATGTTAAATTATATAATTTTATCATAATATACAGGGTGCGGCGCCAAAATCCGGACAAATTATATATTTTTTTTCTATACATGTTTCATTGCTACAATGAAAAGATTTACAAAATTTGTTTAACTCCATTGTTTGTCAGGCCATAAAGAACATATTCACTCAATATATCCCCCGCTTGCTTGAATGACCGCCTCCATTCTCGGTCTGAAGCGTGCGTAGGCACGCTTTAATGCGTCACGGTTCATATCGGTGAATGCCGCTTCAATAGCGGCTCTCAATGATGCGACGTTTGGATGTCTGGACTTGTTTGTGATCCTTTCAACCACGCCCCATACATAGAAGTCCAAAGGATTCAAATCTGGGCTGTTGGGAGACCAGAATTCTTTCGACCAAAACATGTCGACGTTGTCCGACAACCAATTTTGCACCAAATGACTTGTGTGGGCGGGCGCACCGTCCTGCTGGAAAACATATGGCTTTCCAGCCGACACAGTTTCCATCCACGGCTTCACTACATTTGTCAGAACACGCAAATAAACTTCTTTTGTGACATTTTCCCCTTTGTTAAAAAAAACGCCCTCCTTCGAGTGGAATTTCCTCGCCGGTGTTGCAGAACCTTCGTTGGACTTCTCCGACTCATGATACTTTGCGAAGACATCATACACAGTCGATCTCGGATACCCGAAAAACCGAATGATTTCTGTCGCCGAGCGCCCGGCGCGAATACTTTCGATAATCGCTGCTCTTCGGTTGTACTCCGCACTTGGTTTCAACATTGCGACTGTTTCGAGGTTATGATGGTTTAGTACATGCGTCAAGCTATTTTGACTGCCAATCGCGACATCTACCAATGGTATTGAACGGAGGAAATTTCAATTTGAAATTTGTTCGGATTTTGGCGCCGCACCCTGTACATTTTTATATGTACCATATTAGTGTATTAAAAAGTGAATTGAGGAAGTAAAGTAGGTTTAATAATTATAAAAATGTATATAATATTTTAATACAATATATATTTATTTAATAATTGTAAATAATTTTAGGTAGATAGATGATAGAGATAATGATCTTTAAGATTTGTTAGAAGTTATATTAGATTAGAATCAGGAATAATTTATAATGAAATATACTATTTGAATTGAAAGAAAAATAAATATAAAATATGAAAAAATTAATAGAAAGTTAGTATTTCTTTTATGTGTTTTCAAAACACATATTTATTCAAAATCATTAATTATTATTATTATTATTATGAGATTTGTAGAATGAGAATGGAATATAGAAAAATAGTTTTAATTTTAGTTTTTAACGTTAAGAGTTTAAAAGTATAGTTTTAATATTAAGAGTTTAAAAGTATAATTTATTTAATTAATAATTATTTATAGATAATATATTTTCATATTTTGTAGTTAAATGAAAGAGTAATAAAGAATATGAAGTATATTCATGTAAGAATTTGATTAATTAAAATGTAAGGATTTTCAATTAGTTGTGCGCCTGCTCAGGTTAAAAGAATAAAAATATTAATGAATATTCAGAAGATAAGTTGATTAAATATAATGTTTGATGAAGAATATTAACATATTTTGATTTAATAAGAGGAAGAGAGAATATAAAATTGAAATTGATATTAAAAGAGCAATAACTCCTCCTAGTTTATTTGGAATTGATCGAAGAATGGCATAAGCAAATAAAAAGTATCATTCAGGTTAAATATGAGTAGGTTACTAGAGGGTTTGCTGGAGTAAAGTTATCTGGATCTCTAAATATATATGGGTATTGTATAATAATGATTAAAAATAAAAAAATAATTAAAGTGAATCCTATAATATCTTTTTGAGTATAATAGGGATGAAAGTAAATTTTATATAGATCCCTATTAATTCCTAGTGGGTTAGAAGATCTTGTAGAATGTAAAAAGAATAGATGGATAAAGATAAATAAAATAATAATGAATGGAAGAATAAAATGAAAAGAAAAGAATCGATTTAGAGTTGAGTTATTGATTGAAAATCCCCCTCAGATTCATATTACTAATATGTTTCCAATATAAGGAATAGTTGATACTAGATTTGTGATTACTGTTGCTTCTCAGAAGGATATTTGGCCTCAGGGAAGAACATAACCAAGAAATGCTGTTAATATGGATAGGAAGAAAATTAAGACACCAAAAATTCAGGTATTATTTAAATTGAATAAGTTATAATAAATATTTCGTCTAATATGTATTGGGTTGTTCAGAAAGTAATTTTGTTTTTTCCCAATAGAGGACTTTTTCATAGCTAACTTTACACTTAAGCCGCATAATCATTATATATTTTGACAGCTGATATAGCAAGGCTTCCTTGTGAAAAAAGTTTGATTTTGATTCTACGCAGTAGTTTTTGGTTGGTGCCCTATCAAATATGGAAAGTAAAAAGCAGCATTTTCTGCATATTTTACTTTTTTACTATCGAAAAGGTAAAAATGCTGTTCAAGCAAAAAAAAATAATCCGATGTGTATGGAGAAGATGTATTGACAGAACGCCAGTGCCAAAACTGGTTTGCAAAATTTCGATCCGGCAATTTTGATGTTGAAGATGCACCACGTTCTGGAAGGCCAGTTGAAGCTAATGAAGACACAATAAAGGCATTAATTGATGCAAACCGGCGAAGAACAACTCATGAGATCGCTGAGAGATTAAATTTATCAAATTCGACCGTTCATGATCATTTGAAACGCCTAGGTTTAATCTCAAAGCTCGACATATGGGTTCCTCATGTTCTTTCGGAAAGAAATTTGTGCCGTTACATGGATCATTTTCTTGACGTCTGTGATTTATTTCTCAAACGTCAAGAAAATGATCCATTTTTGAAGCGCATCATCACTGGGGACGAGAAATGGGTTGTCTACAACAATGTTAAACGCAAGAGATCATGGAGTAAAAAACATGAACCGGCTCAAAGCACTTCGAAAGCCGATATTCATCAAAAAAAGGTGATGCTATCTGTTTAGTGGGATTTCAAAGGAATCGTTTTTTTTTTAGCTTCTACCGGACAACACAACGATCAATTCTGAAGTGTACTGTCATCAGCTGGACAAATTGAATGATTCATTTAAACAGAAAAGGCCAGAATTGATCAATAGAAAAGGTATAGTGTTCCACCAAGATAATGCGAGACCTCATACAAGTTTGGTAACTCGCCAAAAGCTTTTACAGCTTGGATGGGATATACTGCCACACCCACCATATTCTCCAGATCTGGTACTTTCTGATTATTATTTGTTCCGGTCTCTACAAAATTTTTTAGACGGTAAAACCTTTACTTCAATGAGGAAGTCAAAAATCACCTGGATCAGTTTTTTGCCATCAAAGAACAAAAATTTTATGAGCGTGGAATCATGCTACTGCCAGAAAGATGGCAAAAGGTATTGGACCAGAATGGACAATATATAATTCAATAAAATATTTATTCACTATAAGAAAATCGTCTTTCACTTTCATAAAAAAAAACGAAATTACTTTCCGAACAACCTAATATATATATAAAAATAAAAAAAAGAGGCTCCATTTATATGAATGTTACGTATAATTCATCCGTTAGATACATTTTGAATAATGTGAATAATTCTGTTAAAAGCAATATTAATATTTGGACAATAGTGTATAGATAGAAATAAGCCTCTAATGATTTGGATTATGAGGAAAAGTCCTAAAAGAGATCCAAAATTTCATCAATAGGAGATATTGAAGGGAGAAGGTAAGTTTGTAAACTGTTTGATTATTTTATTTATTCATATAAATAAATTTATTTATTCAGATAAATAAAAATTAGTGTTTGTTTATAGATGTATAAATAACAGGGAGGGAATACTTAAAAATATAATAGAATTAATTGATAAAGAAGTTAATTTTTATTTAATATGCATTAGTTTAAATAATATAAATATTTAAGTTGGAATAAGATAAGATATTAAAATATATGGGATGAGTTAATTAGTATTGGTATTATTATTGTTTAAATGAAAATAAATTTAAAATAAGTTAGTTGATTTTACGTAATGGGGCATATTTAATTGAACAAGTTTTAATAATTAAAAATATTGATAGTAAAAGAAAGATCATGCAGATTAATATAGTGTTGGTGTAGGGATGTATATAAATGGGAGAGATGTTTTCAAAAATTTTTTTATTTAGGTTGATGGATAAGTTAAGATTAAGAAAATTAGAGTTTAAAAAAGATGAATAAAAATGTAAATTAAATTTTATTCTTATTATAAACATAGATATGTTTATGGAGAAAGCTAGGAGAAGAAAAGGTTTAATATTAAAGTTATTTTTTATATTAGAAATGAATCTAATAAAATATAGAAAAATAATGAGTAGTCCTCTATATAATTAAAGTTAGAAATATAATAATTAAGTATATATAATTTTTTGATCAGAATGATATTATTCTAAAAATTAATATGATATGAATAATTAGTAAAATAATTATATTGTAGATCTGATATTAAAATAATTTAAAATAGTTAAAATTAAAAATATAATTAAGAATATTATGAATAAAAAGATGGTAAAGATTATATTAGATATTTTGTTCATAATTATAGATGTTAATAGGACTTCCGTTTCCGGTGAGTAACTGAAAGGTTCGATAAACTGTTGCTGCCAAATAAATTAGATTGTATTCTGCATCTTTGTGCCCGCGGGCGTTATTCTGTTTCAGGACCTAGGCAAGTTAGAAAGTGCCACAAGTTACTGTATTTTTCACGGGAAAATCGAGAGTTCCCGGAAGATTACTTCAGGTAAAGTGGCAGAATTAACATAACCTAAAAGTGAGAACGATCGCCACGTGTGGTGATAGCCACGTTTCGTACAAGTGGACGGGGACAGGTGCTGCCATCTATTGAGGGAGCAAGGCGTAGCGTTACAGCCATCGATGACGGCGTGACAAGTACGATAGAGGGAGAGAGAGAGAGAGAGAGAAAAGGAGAGAGAGTAAACGGCAGTAGAGGGAGCAGGTGAGCACGAACACGGTGCAGCACGGAGAAAAGGGTATGAGTGAGAGGTTAGAGATAGAGAAGGAAGATACCGGCTCAGAGGCGGAAGCATCGAATAGTAAGAGGGGAGAAGTAGAAGAAGCGAGAGTGGGGAAGAGAGGGAGACCATCCAACGCGGAAAAGCTGGGAAGGGAGAGAAGCAACAGTAGAGAGAGTGTATCGAGTATTTCATCGTGGCTGTGGAGGAGGGGAAGAGAGCAGCAAGACAGCGATAGTGAGGGTGAGGAGAAGGAAGGGAAACGGAGGAAGACGACTGAAATAATAAAAGATACAGAAAAGGCGAAAATAGTAGAAATGGAAAAGATTGAAAAAATTCTGGAAAACATGGGGGAGAATCAAGAAAGGTCTAAGAAAGAAATTATCAAGAAAATAGAGGATAGTAATAGAGACTTAGAAAAGAAGGTAATGACTGAGCTGAAGAAAGAGCTGGAAAAAATGAGTGAAGAGAATGCGAAAGTGATAGAAGAACTGAAGAAAGAAAATGTGGAATTACGAAGAGAGGTGACGGAGCTAAAAAAGAGAGAGGAGGAAAGAGAGAGAAGAGAAAGGAAGAAGAATATTGTGATTAAGGGAGAGCAAGTTGAGGAAGGAACAGAGAGGCAGGTAGTAGAAGATCTATGTAATGGAATATGTGGAGAAAAAATAAGAGTGAAAGAGGTAAGGGTTATTGGCAAAGAAGAGAAAATGATTTTAGTGGAATTAGAAAACTTTGAAGAAAAGAGGAAGATTATGAAAAATAAGTATAAGCTAAGAGGGAAGAAAATATATGTGGATGAAGATATGACTAGAAAAGAGAGGGGGATACAGAAAAGGGTAAGAGAATGGGCATATCAAGAGAAGAAAAAAGGAAGGATGGTAAAAGTCGGATACGCAAAAGCATATATAGGAGAAATAAAGTATGTATGGAACTATGAGAGGGACAGAATGGAAATCGAAAGGGATTTTGCGAGAGCGGCGAGGGTAGAATAAACGGAGAACAAGCCGAAGAGATGAATGAAGGTGAAGATGGAGAACAAGGGAGAGATCGACGGCTGGAGAGAGAGACGGTGGAGGATGGTAGAACAGAGAAGAAGGAAGAGATATGTAGAGATAGAGTAATAGATAAGAGTGATAGCAGTAAGAGTGAAAGAGAAGGGGGGAATGATCGTAGGGAGGGGTGGGAGAGTGTGAAAGGAAGGGATGAGAGTGCAGGGAAAAGGAGAAGGTTAAGGGGAGAGGAAGAGAGTGAAGGCGTGAGAATAAATGTGAATGAATGTCGTTTGGATGAGAGAGAAAGAGAAAGAGATGGGAAAGAAGGTAGAAAGAGGGGAAGAATAGGAAGGAGGGAGGGTAAAAGGGAAAGGAGGGGAGGTATAGATAAGAAAGGCGGGGAGCCCTCGGACAATGGGGATGGAAGCATAGTACATAAGGGTAAAAAGCAGAGGGATGACGTAGAATTAAAGGATAATAAGGGGGAAAAAAATAAGAATATTAACTGCAATAGTAAAGGAAATAAGGGGGGTATGAAAGTTATATTTTGGAACGTAGCAGGAATAGAAAATAAAGACGAGGATTTTTGGGAATTTATACAGGAATTTTTTTTATTTGATATTGTAAATTTGACAGAAACATGGTTAGAAGAGAAAAGATGGAAGAAATTTAGCAATAGATTGCCAGGGGGCTGGAGGTGGAAACACCAAGCAGCCAGAAGAGAAAGTAGAAAAGGTAGAGCGATGGGGGGGATTATTACGGGGGTGAAGGTGGAAGTCAAAGAAATAGCTACAGATAGAATAGAGGAAGAAGGAATCCAAGAAAGGGAAGTAGTACATGGGAATGAGATTTGGAGAATTGTGACGTTATATAATAGATTAAACGGGGGCCAGGTATTATTAGACTTAGATGAAGGAGTGAAAGGGGAGGAGGAGAAAAATCTACTCATAGGGGGAGATTTCAATGCTAGAATAGGAGAGAGGGGGGGTGGGGGTAGAATAAGTGAGGTAGGGATGGAGGAGGAAAGAAAGTCAAAGGATAAGGTGGTGAATAAGGAAGGTAAACAGCTTCTAGAATTGATAGAGGATAGAGGGTGGATAATATTGAACGGAAATAAGGAAGGAGATGAGGAAGGAGAGTGGACATTCGAAGGGAAGGGTCAAAGAGTGGCAAACTCAGTGATAGACATAGGGGTAGTAAATTGGGCAGCGTGGGAGAAAGTGGACAGATTTGAGGTGGGTGTGAGAATAGAATCAGATCATCAACCGGTGATGGTGAGAATAGGGGAAGTAAGAGAGACAGAGGGGGGGACAAAGGCAGAAGAGTCGGAAATAAAATATCAGGACTGGTCAGAGGAGGGGGAAAACGAGTATAGGAAAAGATTAGAGAGGGTAGAATGGAATGGTAAAGGGGTAGATAGGGGTGGGAGGAATTGGAAGAGGTGGTGAGTAGAGCGACACAATATAAAGTTATGAAAAAGTGCAAGAAAGTAAGGTGGAAACCTTGGTGGGATAGAGAGTGCAGAGAGAGTAAACGGGCAGCACAAAAAGCGAAAAGGAAATTTAGGAAGGCGGAAGGGGAAGAGA